TTCTTGCTCCAGTGCCAGACAATCCAGTTCCTCCCCGTATGTCCCTGGGTCCCTCCTCTTGCCGAACTGCTACCCTAGTACTGGAGCTCAGAGACAGAGAACAAGTCCAAGTATTATAAGTCTGTGCACAGGCCCTTTAAGAAGAATAGTCTGGGTCTCCAGTAGCCTCCCTGTCACTCAGCCACAATCCCTGCTGGTTTTTACAGCCCAAAGGTAACAGGGACTTCTCTCCCCAGCTCTGGAACCCTGTGTGGAGGGGTCTGTGTGGGGCTAGGACTCCTTTCACCTCATGAGAGGCCTCTGCAGCCTACATATCCCTGCCAATTGAAAACTGCCACAGATGGGTGTTGGACCAACCCATTCTGTACCTCCACCCTTCCTATTACTTGCAATGTGCTTTCTTCTTTAGTTATGAGACTTCCATTCAGCCCAATTTCAGGTGGTCTTGAATGATGGTTGTTTTGTATTTTGATGTGGTTGTGGAGGCAGCATGTACCAGTGTTTACCTGACTGGTTCTGACTCCTGACTAGTTTTTTATGTTTTCTAGTTCCGTTTTTATGTTTCCTATTTCTTTGTTGAAGTTCTCATTAAGTTCCTCTACGCTTACCCTACACCCATGGAGCATTTTTTAAGCCAATGTTTTGAACTCTGCACCTAATAGATTGTCTCCATTTTGTTTAGCTCTTTTTTCTGGAGATTTCTTCTGTCCTTTCGTTTGGGACATGCTTCTTTACCTCCTCGTTCTGGCTGCCGCCCCGTGTTTGTTTCTGTGGACTAGGCAGAGCTGCCGTGTCTCCGGGGCGTGGTAGAGTTCCCCTAGTAGTTGGTGTCCTATAGAGTCCAGTGGAGCAATCTCCCTGCTCACCCAAGCTGGGCCTTTCAGCTGTGACCCCATGTTAGCCATGTACACCCTCCTGTTGTAGTTGAGCCTTGATTGCTATTGGCATGTCAATGGGAGGGATTTACCGTCAGGCTGATCAGCTGTAAGGAGTGGCTGTGACCAGGATAGAGGATCAGCTGTGAAGGAGTTACTTCAGTGCTCTGGTATCTGCTGAGTCTGCCGCTTGAGTGTGTCCCTTGTGGGGGAGGTTGGGTAGTGATTTGACGTGGTCTGAAGCTGTCCCAGTGCACTGGCTCCAGGGCCGCTCGGAAGGGCAAGCCAAGGAAGGCCCCCCCCCCCCCCGTCTGTGTTCTTCCCAGGCCACCTGCCTGAGCTATAAAGAAACCTGCCGATGGCTGCTACTTATGCTGGGCTTGGAAGTGCCCAAGAGAGGCCAACCTGCCAACCACGGTTGGCTGCTGCTAGTGCTGGGCCTGGGCCACTTAGTGAGAGGGATGGGGCATGCTGAGGCCAGTTACTGCTTGTTTGAGAGGTTTAGGAAGTCCAAAGCATGAGCCAAGACAGGCTATTTGTATGGAAGAGTCACTAGAAACAGCTTGGATTGGGCCCAAAAGTTGGGTGGGCAGGGAATCACCAGGGTGTGGTTAACAGTGTGAGCCAGGATGATGGAGACTCAGATATGATGCCTGCCTGCCAGCTTTGGGAGGGCTCAGAAAAGGAACATGGCCTCTGCCAGCACTTCTGTCTGCAAGAAAGCTGCCCCTCCAGCTCTCAACCTAATGCCAGACAACTCAGTTCCTCCCCACATGTCTCTGGTGCCCAGTGCTGGAACTCCGAGCAAGTAGGTTCAAGTAAGTCCATGTTCTGGCCCTTTAAGAGGAATGCCTGGGACTCCAGTAGCTTAGTCTCACTCAGCCACACCTGAGCTGGTTGCACAGCCAGAAGTCATGGGGCCCTCTCTTCCTGACAATGGGACTCTTGCTGTGGGTCCTGCTGTGGAGTTGGAACTCCTAACTCCTCAGGGGGGTCTTCACAGTTCTGATGGCCCTCTTCGTTTTTATTGTTTTAACTGTGTTTTTATTGACTTCAGAGAGGAAGTGAGAGGGAGAGAAAGAAACATCAATGATAGCCCTAGCCAGTTTGGCTCAGTGGATAGAATGTCAGCCTGTGATCTGAAGGGTCCCAGATTCAATTCCAGTCAAGGGCACATGCCTGGGTTTCACGATTGATCCCCAATTGGGGGTGTGCAGCAGGCAACTGATCAATGATTCTATCTCATCATTGATGTTTATATCTCTCTCTCCCTCTCCCTTCCACTTTGAAATAAATTAAAATATTTTTTAAAAGAATTAAAAGAAACATCAATGATGAGTGATGAGAGAGAATCATTAATTGACTGCCTCCTGTATGCCCCCCACTAGGGATTGAGCCCCACAACCTGTACTTGTGATCTGACAGGAAATCAAACCATGTTCTCCTGGTTCATAGGTCAACAGTCAACTACTAAACCATGCCAGCCAGGCCTGATATCCCTTTTTATATAAAATTTTTTTTATTGATTTCAGAGAGGAAGGGAGAAGAGGAAAGAAATAGAAACATCAATGATGAGAAAGAATCATTGATTGGCTGCCTCCTGCACCCACCCCCGGGCATGTATCGAGCCCACAACCGGGCATGTGCCCTTGACCAGAATTGAACCCAGGACCCTTCGTCCACAGGTCGATGCTCTGTCCACTGAGCCAAACCAGGTAGTGCCTGATATCCTTTTTTATTTTTATCTGCCACATTCGAATGTGGGACCAGCCCATTTTGTGTCTCCACCCCTCCTACCAGTCTCTATATAGCTTCTTCTTTATATCCTTAGTTTTAGGACTTCTATTCAGATCGATTGAGACAGTTCTGAATAATGGTTGTTCTGTAGTTTAGTTGCAGTTTTTTTTTTGTTTGTTTGTTTTTTAAATATATATATATATTTTTTTTATTGATTTTTTTTACAGAGAGGAAGGGAGAGGAGAGAGATAGAGAGCTAGAAACATCAATGAGAGAGAGACATCAGCCAGCTGCCTCCTGCACACCCACACGAGGGATGTGCCCGCAACCAATGTATATGCCCTAGACCGGAATCGAACCTGGGACCCTTCAGTCCACAGACCGATGCTCTATCCACTGAGCCAAACCGGCCTCGGCTAGTTGCAGTTTTGATGTGGTCGTGGGAGGATTTGAATACCACAGTGAACCACATAGCCATCTGAACCACTTGGTTAATATTAATATTGGTAGTCAACTGTATTGGGAAGTGGCATGATGCCTGCCCTGGTCAGTTTGGTTCAGTGGATAGGGTGTCGGCCTGTGGACTGAGAGGTCACGGGTTTGATTCTGGCCAAGGGCACATACCTTGGTTGCAGGCTCGACTCCTGGCCCCAGCTGGACGAGTGTGGAAGGCAGCAAATCGATGTGTCTCTCTCACATTGATGTTTCTGTCTCTCCCTCCCTCTTCCAGTCACTCTAAAAATCAATGGACAAATATCCTCGGGTGAGGATTAACAACAGAAAAGCCTCCTATCCCTGCCCTACACTAGCTCTAAATATTAGGTATATTTATGTTGATAAAGCAAGTAGTGCTTTATTTATTATATAAATGTCACATCGACCAAATGCAGATGCTCCAACAGGTTTTATTTTCATTTAAGGAGCCCATGGCTGAAGACCAGGGGGAGCCTGCTGTGTAGCAAAGACTGTCTGTTCTTTTACCGGGGATGTAGCTGCTAAGCTCTTGGAGTTCCCCCAGTGGTCAAGTGCCTATTAGGGTGGTGTCTGCTAGTTTGTGTTCATGAGGTGACTCTTGGGGGGAGTGGCTAAGTGAGTCATGCTAATGAGCTCACTCAGGATGGGGCGGCCCTGTCAGAAAGGCCACGTGACTATGGCTTCCCCATCTGTGACACATGAAAAACGAGGCCTGGCATATAAAGCCTTCACATACATTTTCACGTTTTTGTTCTATTTGGTTACTTATTTCCCTTCCTGCTCTGCCTCTGCTTGTACCTTATGAATAACGTGTGCAGAACTGCTTAGCATGGATGTGAGCTGAGTCCAGTTCCCGCTCAGGGAGTCGATTCCATGGGGATTGCATTCTGGGGAGAGGGCCTGCAGAGAACGGAGCCAGAGCCTCTGGGCCTGGCGTGCGGAGGGAGCAGAGACTCGGGCGGAGGGACCCTCCACGGTGTCAGGAGCCCTGTGCGTGTGACCTCCCTGTGAGCCGGTGCTGAGGGCAGCTGGGGTGCACGTTTCACACCAGGAAGGGTGGGCCCCTCTAGGGTGAGGGAAGTGGTAGTCCCTTGGCGTAACTTATTCTGAGGGCGCCCGGGGAGGCTGTGCCAGGAGTGGGTCAGCCGCATGGCGCCGCCTGCTGGGTCACTAGTGAGCTCATCTCCATCCTGTGCCCCGCGTCCTGCCCACCGAGAGGGGCTGTGCGTCTCTGCACGGCCGGCCCCCCACCGGCCTTTCTGAGCATTCGGTATCCAGGGCGAACAGTATCCAGGGGGCGTGAGTTCTGCCCGGAGCCGTACACCACACGGTCCAGACACCCTGCAGGCAGTGGATCCCAGAACTCCCTTCCAAGATGGAATCCAACTGTGGCCTCCTGGGTCATGGGTCGACGCTCAGCCATTGAGCCGTGCCAGCCGGGCTGGTCCACCCTATTCTCTGATTAAACTGTTAACCTTGCCATGGCTGGTGTGGCTCAGAGGATAGAGCGTTGGCCTGCAGACGGAATGGTCCTGGGTTCGACTCCCGACAAGGGCACATGTCTGGCTTGTGGGCTCAATCCCCAGTAGGGGGCATGCAGAAGGCAGCCAATCAATGATTCTCTCTCATCATCAATCATTCTATCTCTCTCTTCCTCTCCCTTCCTCTCTGAAATCAATAAAAATATTTTTTTAAGTGCTAATCTTTCACCCACCAAGTGCTCTCTACTGTTCCAAATCACAGCCTCTCAGGAAATGGTTTGGGTCCTTTGCTGCACAAAGACCCTCCTACTTCTCTCAGCCCTGGTGTCACCACGCCCAGAGCCCTCCCGCGCGTGTGTTGGGCACGCACACAGCCCTATCCGGTCCGGGGATCCGGCCTCTTCCCCCGCTGACCGCCCTCCGCCCTCTGCAGCCCGGTGTACTGCCACGGGGAGCTGCTGCACCAGGTGCAGATGGCCAAGCTCTACCCGGACGACAAGCAGTTCGTGGACATGCCGATGGCCTCCCACCCAGGTAAGCGCCGGCCCGCCTGCTCCTGACCGCCCCCCGGAGGCGGCAGGGCCAGACCCCGCCAGGGAAGGGGCACGGGTCCCACGGAGCCGTGTCTCCGCCCAGACCAGGTGCTGCAGGCCTTCCGCAGCCTGGCCAGCGCCCACAACCACAGCGTGCCCCGGCCGCAGCTGCAGGCCTTCGTCCAGAAGCACTTCTGGCCCGTGGGGCTGGAGATGCAGCCCTGGGTCCCCGAGGACTGGACGGACAGGTAGGCCCGGAGCGGGGCGGGGCGGGCCGGCCCTCCGCCTGCTGCCCTCCCCCGCCCCCAACCCGCCGCCCTGTCCCCCCAGCCCGCGGTTCCTGGAGAAGATTGCGGACGCCAGGCTGCGCTCCTGGGCCGGGCAGCTGCACCAGCTCTGGAAGAAGCTGGGAAAGAAGGTACCGGCCGGGGGGCCCGCTGGGAGGCCGCCCCTGGGAGCACAGGCCCCCCCCCCCCCATCCCGTCCCCGTCCGCGTCCCGGTCTGGAGCAGCATCTCTCTCCCGATTGTCCGCGAGGGCAGGGGACACCTCCTGACCCCTGACCTCCCTGAAGGCCCAGGCACACCGCCTGTCCGCCTTCCCAGGCCCAAGACTGCACAGCACTAGCCCCCAGGCGGCACCCACAGGCAGAGGGCCGGGCTCCTTTGTGGCGGGTGCCGCTCCCGGGCGCTGCTGCCCTGAAAGCCGCCCCTGAAGCCACTCCCCCGCAGCGCCAGCGCCCGTCCTCTCGCTCCTCGCCCCCCCCCCCCCCCCGCCCCGGGGTCCAAAGGGTGCCAGGCTCCTCCGCTCCACCAAGCACAGCAGGGACCCCAGGCCCCCGTGGGGCAGAGCCTCCCGGCAGCCAGGCCGGCCGAGCGCAGGGAGGCAGAGCCCACGGCCTCTCCGAGCCCCCGCGGCCCCCCACGGCGGCGGGCGGCCCTTGGGTTGGGGTCCAGGCTGCGACCTCTCTCCTGGCTCCAGATGAAGATTGACGTCCTCCGGGAGCCCGAGCGCTTCTCTCTCATCTACCAGCGGCGCCCCTTCATGGTGCCCGGCGGGCGCTTCCGCGAGTTCTACTACTGGTGAGTGCCGGGCCCAGTCTGGGTGCCTGCGGGGGCGGGGGGCCTCCGGGTCCGGGGGTGCCTGCGGGGCCGGGGTGCCTGCGGGTCCGGGGGTGCCTGCGGGGCGGGGGGCCTCCGGGTCCGGGGGTGCCTGCGGGGCCGGGGTGCCTGCGGGGGGCCGGGGGGGCCTGCGGGGGCCGGGGGGCCTGCGGGGGCCGGGGTGCCTGCGGGGCCGGGGGTGCCTGCGGGGCGGGGTGCCTGCGGGTCCGGGGGTGCCTGCGGGGCCGGGGAGCCTGCGGGGCCCAGTCTGGGTGCCTGCGGGGCCGGGGTGCCTGCGGGGCCGGGGTGCCTGCGGGGGCCGGGGTGCCTGCGGGGCCGGGGAGGCCTGCGGGGGCCGGGGGGCCTGCGGGGGCCGGGGTGCCTGCGGGGGCCGGGGTGCCTGCGGGGCCGGGGGTGCGGGATCTGGCCCTGACGAAGCCGTCCCTCCCAGGGACTCCTACTGGGTGCTGGAGGGGCTGCTGGTGTCGGAGATGGCGGGCACGGCCAAGGGCATGCTGCAGAACTTCCTGGACCTGGTGTGGACGTAAGCGCTGCCCCACGGGTGCGGAGGACGGGCGCTCGGAGCGGTGAGCCCTGGCTCCGGGGCTCCCTCTGCAGGAGCCGTCAGCGACCTCCTCCCCGCAGCTACGGGCACGTTCCCAACGGGCCCCGCGTGTACTACCTGCAGCGCAGCCAGCCGCCGCTCCTGGCGCTCATGATGGCCCGCTACGTGGCGCACACCAACGACACCGCCTTCCTCCGGTGGGCACCGCGGGCTCCGTCCCCGAGGCCTCCGGGTGGGGGGTGCTCCCAGGCTGAGGCTCCGCCCCCCAGGCCTCTGGGTGCGGGGTGCTCCCAGGCTGAGGCTCCGCCCCCCAGGCCTCCGGGTGGGGGTGCTCCCAGGCTGAGGCTCCGCCCCCCAGGCCTCTGGGTGCGGGGTGCTCCCAGGCTGAGGCTCCGCCCCCCAGGCCTCCGGGTGGGGGTGCTCCCAGGCTGAGGCTCCGCCCCCCAGGCCTCCGGGTGGGGGGGCAGTGCTCCCAGGCTGAGGCTCCGCCCCCCAGGCCTCCGGGTGGGGGGTGCTCCCAGGCTGAGGCTCCGCCCCCCAGGCCTCCGGGTGGGGGGGCAGTGCTCCCAGGCTGAGGCTCCGCCCCCCAGGCCTCCGGGTGGGGGGTGCTCCCAGGCTGAGGCTCCGCCCCCCAGGCCTCCGGGTGGGGGGGCAGTGCTCCCAGGCTGAGGCTCCGCCCCCCAGGCCTCCGGGTGGGGGGCGGTGCTCCCAGGCTGAGGCTCCGTCCCCCAGGCCTCCGGGTGGGGGTGCTCCCAGGCTGAGGCTCCGCCCCCCAGGCCTCCGGGTGGGGGTGCTCCCAGGCTGAGGCTCCGCCCCCCAGGCCTCCGGGTGGGGGTGCTCCCAGGCTGAGGCTCCGCCCCCCAGGCCTCCGGGTGGGGGGGCAGTGCTCCCAGGCTGAGGCTCCGCCCCCCAGGCCTCCGGGTGGGGGTGCTCCCAGGCTGAGGCTCCGCCCCCCAGGCCTCCGGGTGGGGGGTGCTCCCAGGCTGAGGCTCCGCCCCCCAGGCCTCCGGGTGGGGGGGCAGTGCTCCCAGGCTGAGGCTCCGCCCCCCAGGCCTCCGGGTGGGGGGGCGGTGCTCCCAGGCTGAGGCTCCGTCCCCCAGGCCTCCGGGTGGGGGGTGCTCCCAGGCTGAGGCTCCGTCCCCCAGGCCTCCCGGATGGGAGGAGGGTGCTCCCAGGCTGAGGCTCCGCCCCCAGGACTCCGGGTGGGGGGGCGGTGCTCCCAGGCTGAGGCTCCGCCCCCCCAGGCCTCCCGGATGGGAGGAGGGTGCTCCCAGGCTGAGGCTCCGCCCCCAGGACTCCGGGTGGGGGGGCGGTACTCCCAGGCTGAGGCTCCGCCCCCAGGACTCCGGGTGGGGGGAGGGTGCTCCCAGGCTGAGGTGCCGGCTCTGCCCCAGGGACAACATCAGGGCCCTGGCCATGGAGCTGGACTTCTGGGCCGAGAAGAGGAACGTCTCTGTGAGCGTGGGGGGGAGGAGCTACGTCCTGAATCGCTACCACGTCCCTTACGGGGGTCCCAGGTGAGGGAGCGGTGTCATCAGCCCTGGCAGGAAGGCCCGTCCGTGCTCAGGCCCTCTCAGGGGGCGAGATGGTCGCTGTGGGCCATCAGGGCGGTGGGCCCAGGTCCGCTGAGTCACCAGGCTCAGCCCCAGCTTGGGTACGAGGCTCAGAGCCCCCGTGCCAGGCTGCCCACTCTCCTCCCGCAGACCAGAGTCCTACAGCAAGGACGCAGAGCTGGCGGCCGCGGTGCCCGAAGGTGAGGGCGCCGGACGGGTGGGGCTGGGCCTGCAGCGGGGCGGCCGGTGCTCTGTCCTCTGTCCCCCACAGGCGCCCGGGAGGCTCTGTGGGCTGAGCTCAAGGCGGGGGCCGAGTCGGGCTGGGACTTCTCTTCCCGCTGGCTCGTTGGAGGCCCGGACCCCAGCTCGCTCAGCAGCATCCGGACCAGCAAGCTGGTGCCTGTGGACCTCAACGCGTTCCTGTGCCAGGCAGAGGGGCTGATGAGCAGCTTCTACGCCCTCCTGGGTGAGCGCCCGGGCGGGCGGGAGGGGCCCGGGCGGGAGGGGGTGGGCTCGCCCGCTCGGGCCGCCTCGCCTCGGCCTTGGCCTGGAGCTGGAAGGAGGACCTGGGTGGAGCGCCATGGGACCTGCCCCCATGCAGCCCTGGGGCGCACACGGGGCCTTCCGCAGTCACTCCCGGCTTTTCTCACCCGCACGTGCGCCCAGTCCTCGCCTGCACCCCTCCCGCTCCCCGCTGCTGCCCCTCCAGGCCGAGCCAGGGCCTTTGGAGGATGAGCCTGGGACAGGGCCGGAGGCCGGAGCCCTAAGCCCCTTTGCCCAGGGAATTCTGGGTCCTGGAGCCTGAGGTGGGCTGGGCTCCAGGTGGGCACGGCTCTGGCCCTTGGGGGTCACAACAGGAGGCGGCCAAGGGCAGGCCCGGTCACTCCCTCTAAATCACGTGCCCCAGGGAATGAGCCTGAAGCCACAAGGTACAGAAATCTGCAGGCCCGGCGCCTGGCCGCCATCCAGGCTGTCCTGTGGGACGAGGAGAAAGGGGCCTGGTTTGACTATGACCTTGAACATGAAAAGAAGAACCACGAGTTTTACCCGACCAACCTGACTCCTCTCTGGGCCGGCTGCTTCTCTGACCCCGCCCTGGCGGACCGGGCCCTGAAGTACCTGGAGGTGAGGGGGTGGGGGGTGGTCCCTGGGTGGACCGGGCCCTGAAGTACCTGGAGGTGAGGGGGGGTGGGGGTGGTCCCTGGGCAGGACCGGGCCCTGAAGTACCTGGAGGGGAGTTGGGTGGGGGGGTCCCGGGGCGGACCGGGCCCTGAAGTACCTGGAGGTGAGGGGGTGGGGGGTGGTCCCTGGGGCAGACCGGGCCCTGAAGTACCTGGAGGGGGAGGGGGTGACGGGGGTGGTCCCTGGGTGGACCGGGCCCTGAAGTACCTGGAGGGGAGGGGGGGACGGGGGTGGTCCCTGGGTGGACCGGGCCCTGAAGTACCTGGAGGGGAGGGGGGGAGGGGGGGTGGTCCCTGGGGCGGACCGGGCCCTGAAGTACCTGGAGGTGAGGGGGGGTGGGGGGTGGTCCCTGGGGCAGACCGGGCCCTGAAGTACCTGGAGGGGAGTTGGGTGGGGGGGTCCCGGGGCGGACCGGGCCCTGAAGTACCTGGAGGTGAGGGGGTGGGGGGTGGTCCCTGGGGCAGACCGGGCCCTGAAGTGCCTGGAGGGGAGGGGGGGGGGGGGTGGTCCCGGGGCGGACCGGGCCCTGAAGTACCTGGAGGGGAGGTGGGGAGCGGGGTGGTCCCTGGGTGGACCGGGCCCTGAAGTACCTGGAGGGGAGGTGGGAGGGGGGTCCCTGGGTGGACCGGGCCCTGAAGTACCTGGAGGGGAGGTGGGGGGGGGGGGTCCCGGGGCGGACCGGGCCCTGAAGTACCTGGAGGGAAGGTGGGGGGGGTGTCCCGGGGCGGACCGGGCCCTGAAGTACCTGGAGGGAAGGTGGGGGGGGGTCCCGGGGCGGACCGGGCCCTGAAGTACCTGGAGGGGAGGGGGGTGGTCCCTGGGTGGACCGGGCCCTGAAGTACCTGGAGGGGAGGTGGGGGGGGGGGTCCCGGGGCGGACCGGGCCATGAAGTACCTGGAGGGGGGGGGGGGTCCCGGGGCGGACCGGGCCCTGAAGTACCTGGAGGGGAGGTGCGGGGGGGTCCCGGGGCGGACCGGGCCCTGAAGTACCTGGAGGGGAGGTGGGTGGGGGGGTCCCGGGGCGGACCGGGCCCTGAAGTACCTGGAGGGGAGGGGAGGGGGGGTCCCGGGGCGGACCGGGCCCTGAAGTACCTGGAGGGGAGTGGAGGGGGGGTCCCGGGGCGGACCGGGCCCTGAAGTACCTGGAGGGGAGGGGAGGGGGGGTCCCGGGGCGGACCGGGCCCTGAAGTACCTGGAGGGGAGGTGGGTGGGGGGGTCCCGGGGCGGACCGGGCCCTGAAGTACCTGGAGGGGAGGGGGGGGGGTCCCGGGGCGGACCGGGCCCTGAAGTACCTGGAGGGGAGGGGAGGAGGGGGTGGTCCTGGGGGCAGCGCTGGCTCAGGACCCAGCAGGAGCTCTAGCCAGTGGCCTCCTCGCCCTCCTGGGTCTCAGCTGCCGGTCCCGCTGCGGCCACCAGGGGCAGCTGTGAGCCCAGAGGGGAGGGCCCAGGAGAGGGACCTCTGCTTTAGGGGGTCCCTCCCTCCTGGCTCCTCGCCAGCCCCACCTGCAGTCACACTGCCTTCTGGAACCTTCCAGGACAGCGAGATCCTCACCTACCAGCACGGGATCCCGACCTCGCTCCGGAAGACGGGCCAGCAGTGGGACTTCCCCAACGCCTGGGCGCCCCTGCAGGACCTGGTCATCAGAGGTAGGGGCAGGGGCGGATCCCAGGGTCCGCCCCAGGGTGGTTGCCCGTGGTTCCAGGACAGAGGGCACAGGCCGGCCCGTCCCTCCTGCGCCCCTGGGATGGGGACCTGGATACTCAGGCCCTGCCACGGGGTGTCCTAGGTCTGGCCAGGTCTCCTTCACCTAAGACCCAGGAGGTGGCTTTCCAGCTGGCGCAGAATTGGATCCAAACCAACTTCCATGTCTACTCCCAGAAGTCAGCCATGTTCGAGAAGGTGAGCTGGCCCTGAGCCGCCGAATGTCAGGCTCTGGAAAGCCCAGGCCCAAGCCCCGTGGCGGCCCCCAGTGGCCATCCCAGGGCACTGCAGGGGTGGGAGACTCAGACGGTGAGCAGGCCCCGAGCCAGTGCGCCTCCCCCGTGTCAGGCTCTGCAAACTGCAAAGCCCCGTGGCGGCCCCCAGTGGCCACTCCTGGGCACCGCAGGGGTGAGACAGCTTGTCCTCTCGCCCCCAGTATGACATCAGCAGTGGTGCACAGCCGGGTGGCGGAGGGGAGTACGAAGTCCAGGTGAGTGGGCACACCCCACAGGGAGTGATGGGGCTCTGCTCTCCCCACGGCTAACCTTGACCTTCCTTTCTAGGACTGTTCTTCCATGCGGGTGGGTCCCCAGGGAGGAGCCTGGCACCCTGGGTTAGACCTTCTGGGTTTGGGTCAGGGGTCCCACACCTGCCTGGAAGGACGTGGGGGCCTTTCCCCGAGGCCTCACCCACTGGCCATCCTCTCCCCAGGAGGGCTTCGGCTGGACCAACGGACTGGCCCTGATGCTCCTGGACCGCTATGGCGACCAGCTGCGCTCCGCGGCCCCGCCGGCGCCCCTGCAGCCCCGCTGCCTTGCAGCTGCCCTTGTGCTCAGCCTCCTGCTGCGGTGACGGCCCTTCCCGCCGCGCAGCGCCCCCTCGGCCTCATTAAACGTGTGCAGGCAGCCTGCCCCGCGCCGCGTGCTCTGTCCGGGACCCTGCGTCCTGGCCAGCCTCCGTCAGAGGCGGCAGGGAGGGCTCCGGACGTCGCCAGGGGGATACCCCGCTTTGTGGGGAAGAACTAGCCCTCCCATCCGGGAACCTCAGCCCAGGGCCCCACACAACTCAGCCTCCCGAATCCGCCCAAACGCTTTATTGTTCTGAGATGCTTACAAATACTGAGAACCGCCCGGCGCTGGAGGGGGGCGGGCTAATGTTAAGGCGGAGGACGGCAGCCAGGCCCCGAGGCCCTGTCCTCTGCTCCACGGCACCCCCTCGGAGGTGGGGCTCCAGGGTCCCCCTCCCCGGAGCTCCTCCCGGCTCGGGGAGCAGCCCTCTGTCCTGTCAGGGAGCCCCGCACAGACCCCGAGGAAGGCCTCCTCCTCCCTCCTCCCCGGGACCTAGATACCCTGACTTCATCCCCTCTGGCTCGAAGCAAGGCACCAGTGGACGGGGCTGGCCGGGGCCAGCGGCTGTGGCCAGGGCCTGGGCAGGCTGGGGCGGGAGGTGTGAGGTCCCATTTCCCCAAGGGCCTGGGCTGGAGAGATGATGGCTCGTACCCTGATGGGCCCACAGCTTAAGCAGTGGGCGGAGCCACACAGCCACAGCAATAGCGTGTAACCATGGCAATGAAAGGTTACCATGGTGACCATGGTGATGGGTCCGCTAAAAGGGTATGAGGCTGACCCCCCGAAGGTAAAACTTGAGTCTCTGGCCCTTGAACAAAGTAGTAAAAATGCAAATGCGGGGAACGGTGGGGTGAGAGCAGGGTTTGAGACGAACTGCCTGAGCTGTCACCCCTCAGGAGGCGGCTCTGCGGGCCCCACGCCCCCACACAGCAGGCAGGAGGGGATCTTTGGCAGATTCTGGCGTCACAATTGTCCCTGGCACGGAGAGCACGTGTGGGAGGACAGGACCCTGCAGCCTTATTGCAAGTCCTGGGCTCCTGGCAGGGCGAAGCCGCCCGGCCCGCCCGCCGGCTGGCTCTGCGGAGGCCGGAGGCGGAGGCCGGGCGGCCATCCCAGCGGCTCCTCCGGCAGCCGCCGCCGGCTGTCTCCAGGGCGGCAGGGGAGCAGGTGTCGGACTGGGAGCCACCGTCAGTTCATGAACTGAGTGTAGCCCTCGGCCCCGGTGACGATGACGTCCATCCAGATGCGCATGGCCTCTGCGGACGGGGCCACCATGTAGTACAGCCGGTCATGCGTCTTCACGCAGAAGGTGAGGGCCGGGTTCGGGCTCTGCGGACGGGAAGGGGCGTCTAAGACCGGGCCACCAGCCTTCTCCTGCCCGCCCCGCCACACCCTGCCACACCCCCCATCCGCCCCACCACGCCCCACCCCCACCCACCGCGCCCTGTCCCCATGATGACCTGGAGCTCGGGGCTGAGCCGCACATGGACTGGAAACCTAGACCCACCAGCCAAGTGGGGCCCGGGCAGGCCTCGGACCTGTCAGTCATAGTCTGCCAGGTGGGGCCCTGGTCCTTAGCAACCCCAGGCACAAAAGAATCTCACAAATCAGACACCAAGGGCTGTTTCGTCTCATGCGTTCCCTCTGCAAAAGCCTGGCTCAGGGGTTGAGCATCGACCTATGAACCAGGAGGTCAGGGTTCGCCTGCGGTCAGGGCACATGTCTGGGTTGTGGGCTCGATCCCCAGTAGGGGGCGCGCGGGAGGCAGACAATCAATGATTCTCTCTCATCACTGATGTTTCTCTCTCGATCGCTTCCTCTCTGAAACCAATAAAAACGTTACAAATGCGGTAACTGTGGCTACTGTCTACGGGGGCACCTTGGGGCCAGGGCAGGGGAGGAGGAGAAGGGCAGGGAGCGTTCGGCGGCCCGGCCGCACCTTGGCCGCGCTGCGCAGGTGGTCGTAGTACACCTCCTCGATGGCCTGGAAGTAGATCAGCCCCTTCAGCTTCGTCTCGTGCTTGTCTGCAAGGGAAACGCCGCTGAGGAGGCGGGGTGTGTGTGTGTGTGTGTGTGCGCGCGCGCCCACCCCCAGGGCGGGGTGAGAACGCCTGAGACGCCACCACCCGCCCCGGAACTCAAATACAGAAAGTCCCACCGCACCTTGGCCTTGGAGAGAAAGGCAGCGGGGGTCTGAGCTGGGAGACCGCGGTGGTTTGCCGTATCGACGCACCTCACACGTGTGCAAAGTAGCACGCTCACACCCTCACCGCAGCGCGTCTGCTCACAGAGGGCGCCCCGAGCAGCCCCCACTGTGCGGTGTGAACACGGAGACAGGGACACGCCTCTAAGGCGCATCCTCAGAAAGAGAAGACTGCGTCCCCTTCCGTGTACAAAAGGTGAGAACACGCTTGCTGGTTCCCATGCCCGTGAAGAAACACTCGACAGCCCTACCCGGTCTGGCACAGTGGACAGAGCTCAGCCCGGGGACCAGAGGCCCTGGGTTCAGTTCTAGTCCGGGCATGTCCCTCAGTTGCAGGCTCCATCCCGGGCCCTGGTCAGGTGGGTGCGGGAGGCAACCAATCGATGTCTCTCTCACATCCATGTTTCTCTCTCTCTCCCCCCCTCCTTCCACTCTCTCTAAAAATCAATGGAAAATATCCTCGGGTGAGGATTAACAAAAAACAAGAGAAACACTAGATCAGGGGTCTTCAAACTTCTCTCATTATGAGAATCACCTGGTGGAGGTGTTAAAACACAGATTCCTGATAGCACTTCTTATAGTTGGGATCCGGGAATCTGTGTTTTAACAACTCCACCAGGTGATTCTCATAATGAGAGAAGTTTGAAGACCCCTGCACTAGATGGATACAGAAGAAATCAATTCTCGTGAGTCGGGGCATAATTCCCAATTTAACCTTTTTCTGTGTTATGATTTTGAACTATATGAACGCATTCACCTATTTTACAAAGCGGAAGGAAGTACGAGCATCTGGGGGCAGGTGGTGGGAGGGGGTTGGGGCGGCGGGGGGACAGGGCCCGGCCGTCGGTCGCAGCCCACACTGCCAGGCCCTCCGTGCACCCTGGACAGTGACCGGGCGTAAGGGAAGGTCACAGACCGTCCTGCGGCACCGGGCACTCACTGCTCAGGGGGCCGAGCCTCGCCCTGGGCCCCGGCTGCAGCCCGGCCCGGCCCGCACACCCTCTGCCCCTTTGACTCGTCTTCCCCGGTGCCGAGCGAGGCGTGACCTTCCTGAGGCAGCACCAATCCCGCTGCCTGTGCCACAGGCCGCTGCTGGCACGCCGGGCACGCTGCCTCCTTGGCTCCCCTCAGGGGCCACGTACAGGCTGGAGCGGACCGGTCCCTCTGGCCTGGTCCCTCACCCTCCCCTGCTCTAACCCCAAGCTCTGCCTGGCCTTAAAGTGCGCTCTGCACCCACAGACGGATGGCCCCCAGCCCATTCCTGCGCAAACTCCTAGGCAAAGGGGAAGACCACTGCCAGCCCCCCGCCTGGGTGCCTGCCCTCCGCACGGCTGGATCGGAACCTTCCTTCAGATCCAGGGCCGCCTCCTCACAGCAGCACGGCAGGCACTCCGGGAGCAGATGAGGGGGCCCAGGCCCAGGAGCCAGTGCCCCGCCATCTCGCTCCAGCGCGCAGTTCGGTAGCTGCCTCCCTGCAGCCAGCTCCACGGAGGGCTGCGGCTCCTGGCTTCTCACCAGAGCCGAGGACAGCGCCTGGAACTTACCAGATGCTTGGCAGCTGCTGAATAAATAAATGGATGAGCCTGGCCTGGGTGGCTCAGTGGTTAAGTATCGACCCAGGAACCAAGAGGTGGCCGATTGGATTCCTGGTCAGGGCACATGCCCTGGTTGCAGGCTCCATCCCCAGTAGGGGGTGTGCAGGAGGCAGCCAACCAATGATTTTCATCATTGCTGTTCCTCTCTGTCCTTCTCCCTTCCTCTCTGAAATCAGTAAAAAATATTTTTTAATAAATAAGTAAATGAGTGAACCCATCCATGGAGGTGACCAGGCACTCTGCACTTCTGCCGGGGGTGGAGAGAGGACAGGCCCAGCGAGCCGGTGGCCCCAGCTGCGGGGCGTACCGGCCGCTCTGGGAGGCTGTGGGACTCACCCACGTAATAGGAGAGGGTGCGCTTGAGCCGGTCGAAGACAAACCAGCGCTTCTTCCACGACTTAATCTTGCCGCCCATCTTGACCAAGTAGCCACGACAGACCTGCGGGAGGCAGGAGTGAGGAAGGACCCAGTGCCGGCCCTGAACCTTCCTTCCCGAACCTCCAACCCTGTCGTTCACAGAAGTGGCAGCTCCTGTGCCTGTATTGGGGGGGGGGGGGGGGGCTGTCCACAGCATCTCTTTAAGCCAGAACACTTGTCCTGGGCCAGACCTCAATGTCAGGGCAGGACAAGGCCAGGAGGGCCCCTCCCCGCCCACGGGCCACGCCCACGGGCCACGCCCACCTTGCTGCCGAGCACCACGTGCAGACAGGTGTCCACACCGTGGCCTGAGGACTCGATGTGGGTCTTCAGGTCAAAGTCCTCCTTCCGGACGGGCAGGTAGCGGGTCAGGGGTCGCGCCTGGGAGCAGAGGGCGGGGTCCACAGTCTCCTGGCTGCCCTGGTGCTCCTCGTCCGAGCCCCTCGGCTCCATGCTGCACCCATAGCCTGCCACCTCCCTCCCTCGCGTGGCCACGGCCCAGCGGTGGGCAGCAGACTGTCCCGCCTCTCCCTCCGAGCGCCATGGGCAGACTCTGGGCTCTGCTCCCCGCTCGGGCCCCGTGCCCTGGGGTGGAAACGTGGCTTGGAATGCTCCACCTCGGGAACTCTCAGGCTAGCTCCGCTCTGTCCCACTTCCTTCCCGCTCTTCCTTCCTGGCCCAAAGGAACGTCACAGATTAAAGAAAAACATGGAGGCACCCAAGGCGGGCTCCTGGCCCCACCGCCCCAGCGCGCCGCCCAGAGCGTCCCACAGGGGCCTTGGCCCACGATTCAAACACAGATAAAGCCCACAGCTCTGTTTTTCTTTCCTCGATGTATTTTATTGATGTCAGAGGGGGAGGGAGAGAGAGAGATGAGAGAGAACCATGGATCGGCTGCCTCCTGCACGCCCCCCACTGGGGACCAAACCCACAACCCGGGCCTGTGTCCTGCCTGGGAATCGAACTCCTGGTCCATTGGTCGCCACTCAGCCACTGAGCCACACTGGCCGGCCATGGCCTGGTTATGTTTTCCTCCTTCTCAGACCCAACGCAGCCTACCCTGGGCTCAGGGGATCAGGAGCCGTGGCTGCTGTCACCACGGCCGGTCCCAGGCCCCACTGGGAGACACGTCCAGCCTGAGCCCGGCCCCCACAGGGAAGGACCGGGACAGGGACATGGGCATTCCCCTCCCACTCATTCCTCCTCTGCCCCCAAATGTCTGCTCACCATCGACCTATGAACCAGGTCAGGGTTCCATTCCGGTCAGGGCACAGGCCCGGGTTGTGGACTCCACCCCCAGAAGGAGGCGTGCAGGAGGCAGCCGATCCATGGTTCTCTCTCATCACTGATGTTTCTCTCCTCCCCCTCTCCCTTCCTCTCTGAAACCAATAAAAATATATACACGCCCCCAAACCGGTTTGGCTCAATGGATAGAGCGTCGGCTTGGGGACTGAAAGGTCCCGGGTTCGATTCCGGTCGAGGGCATGTACCTTGGTTGCGGGCATATCCCCAGTGGGGGGTGTGCAAGAGGCAGCTGGTCGAT